CGGGGCCGGTTCTGCGGGGATTCCTAACACAGCCGACAGCAATCACAGCTGGCCGCCGGCCCCCCTGCAACCCATTAGAAAAACCGGTGAGTCTATTGGTCCTGAGTGTCCACGGCATCCCCGTCGCGCTTCTCACCGGCCGGACGCAAAATAGCGGCGAAATTGTAGTCTTGACTTGTGCGCCGTTTGCGCGCAAGGTGCCAAACTTACAAGTGCAAATGCTAGGTGCAATCTCTATAGGCTGCTTTTGGCTGCGGTGCAAGTTTTGACTTTCTAGATATGGGCCCCCCTCTCCCCCTCAGTCGGTGCAGATTTCTCGTACAAATGTCGCCTAGCTGTTTCGTCGACGGACGAGGCTCCGCGGATGGCTGTTCGTTCAAACCAGCGTGGCCACATCAAAGACAAGATCCAATTTCAGGTTTTCATGAAAAGCTGACCGTGGTGGTTTGTCCTTGAAAATATGGGCTTGCCGTTTTTCGAGAAAACACGGTGCAATGTTATTTCGTTGACTGGTTTCAGCGCCGTAAATCTATGAGAGACGGAAGCTTAATGCGTTGTGTGTGGAATGTAATGCACAGTCTATGGTATGAACTTCGCTATGTAGAACCGTGCTCGGCGTACTGTACATTTCGTACTGTTACCGGCATACGGCGTAGAGGAGGTATTCAAAATACTGCACGTGTTGTAGTGTGAACACAAAATATTCCCATATAGATACTTTACCCGAGACATTTGTGCGGAAATAGCACGGGCCAATCACCAACAGAATGACGGAGGTATGACTATCTCATAGAGACACACAAAAGCAAACACAAAAAAAATCCAAACACGAAGAAAATCAGGTGTCGTAAGGATCCCAGAAAACATGGATCAGTCGCTGAACGCAGACCGACCAACATGCGAGTCAACCACCACACAACGTGGTGCAACAGAGGTTCATAAATTAGGTGTACGTACTATCCACTCCCGCCTTCGAAACGATGGAAATAATGAGATTTGACTAGACTCGTACAACGCTCGGGATCCTTCAGAGAAATGTATCGCAAAATGAGGCATGCGCCATGAGCATGGTGCAACTTGGTGACACAATTTCAAATCCGTTTTTGCACAGTGCTACCACCTTCCAGCTATCACTAAACAGAATGCAATCAACGGCTCCACAAGCCGGTTTGCAAGACGTTCGACGAAGTGAGCTTGACGCAGTAAATGCCTTGGGTGCTCGTCACTGTCCTGCCATAGTAAGAATGCTTTCACGGAATCGGGTAAGACCAAACAATGTGCCTTAACGTCAAATATGTAGTCTTAGAAGGAGCGCTTCGTCAAAATGCGAGCTCCAGCACGGGGGAAAGAAAAGCGGCTAAAAGAGGTCAGTAGTAGTTTGAAGGCTCTACGCTCTTGCTGCTTTATACTTTTTTTTTTCCAGGTACATTTAGTTAAAACTTTGGCCAGTAACATTCTCTACACAAACAAAATGCTACTATAGAGTTGATGTATTGATTGATCACCTTTGAAGATGAGTCCACTTTGAATAAAGAAAGCTCAACCCAATGGATTCCTGCCAGCCACAATCATTGCAGTTCCACGAGAAAAAAAAAAAAAATCACCAAACTGGAATGTGTACACTGCTGTAATAATTGAAGCGAGCAAGACGGTAATTCAACTTTGAGTGCGCGACATTGGACAAAGTGCCTCGCTCGACGTCGGAATAATTGCAATGCCGCGTGCTCATCTGATCAACGTGCAAGACTGCAATGCAAGAAGTCGTCCCAAACTTTTTCTATACCAGTATATGTAGTCTGTTGATTTGATGTGATGTTACAGTAAGTAGTGCAAAATAAAGTAGGATGATGCGTTTTACGCAAACAAGAGGAAACTCCTGAATGTATCACAGAAGATTCGCCGGTATCCTCCAAAGTCAGCACTGTGGGCTGCACCTGCTGCTAACAAGGGCTTCCAATCAAGGTCCCCTCTTACGTCTACCTAACAAGCTGGTGCAAATAAGGTTGGCTCCGCAAGTATGGACATTCCAGTGGCTAATGGTCTGATCGTTCAAAAAGAAACCACTAATTAAATGTCTGTAAATGCAGACTACGACAACCTGAAGGTTTGACATGAGTGTGGCATAAAGAAAAAATAAAAATAGATCTGAACATCAATGTTGTTGTCAAAAGGACAGAATATTTCTATAGTCGTTTGTGTACCCAGACCCAGATATTGCCCCTACAAAAGGCACGGTGCCCATGCCAGAGCTCGTATCACAACAAAAATATCGACGCTCAAAATGACAGAACAGCAAGTAGCCCGTTCACAGCCTCTGTGCCCCGTTCCAGTTGTTTTGCACAGTTTTAACTTGGCCATGTTCTGCTTTTTCTTTTTATTTACATTTACCGCATCTTCCGGTGTGCAAGTCGAGTTTTGGTTACCGAAATTCCCGCCGGTGCGGCATGTACGATGGAGCGACTTGTGCACACTTTTTTCTATAAGTATGATCCTTAACTGGAGGAATTTGCCACGGAAGTTGTGTTTCTCATTCAAAGCGCCGACAAGAATATTAAAACTTTCCATCGCTTGTGCGTATATTCCGATTGTAATACATGTGCGTGGGCTTCTCGACGCCGTTTTGCCGCACCAACCGGACAAATATATAGGTGCAACTTATACGAGGGTAGGACTTATATGCAGTCTTGGGTAAGTTACTTTTAAAAAGTAAATTGTTACAGTTACAGTTACTTTCAGAAAAAAGTAGCGAAGTTACTGTTACAGCAACAAAAGAGGAACTCGTTACAGTTACTTTTAAAAAGTAACGACGTTACTTTTTAGTTACCTTTCGACAACACAAAAAAAAAGTTACTAGTGCCTGAAAGAAAAAAAATATAGACACGAATCAGTCAGGCTTTCACCGTAGCGGTAAATTCCAACTTTACAGTTCAGCTGGAAAATTAGTCAATATTATAAAAAGGATAAAGTCCGAAATTCAACTAAATGTGTCTTCTCAGATTTGAACATGAAGACTTGTAGGAGTACTCCTTGTTGCAAAGTTTGCATACTGCAGTCAAATTGCTAGCAACCCACTTCACCACAACAAAATACTGTCTGTATGCCGTTCATGCTAGTTCTTTGTTCCCATCAATATCCCTATCCTTGGTAGCACTAGCACATTGCTTTCTCGTGGACGGTTGCGCTGGGCTCATGGAGTCCTTGGACATACCTAGTTCAGTACGTACACGGCAAGCCACAAACAAACCCCGCGCAAACAACAGTAAATTCTGCCTTCACTGTTGACACCACGCTGGCGTAGGGGCGCAAATCAAAATACGAAACATACGAAGTGCCCTCCGCTTGTATTGTTCTTTCACGTTTGATTCACATGATTAAAAAGCGTGCGCAGAAAAAGAAAAACGCAACAGAGATAGTGCTTCAAGATACTAAGATGTGAATGTTCAGTCACAAAGTACAAGCACGTGCCTAAAGATAACTAGATTCTTCTTTTCTTCTTTTTTCTTATCAAATCTACACGTGGCTATATTCGGGTCGTGACTCGCGAGAAAGAGCGTATTCCCAAGTTTGTTCAAGGCCAACTGACACTCGAAATGTCGGAACAGACAATCTGGAAAGTGCAAGGAATAGCTAGATTATACTCGTTCAATGATATATTATTCATAAAGAACTGAAAAGTAACAAACAAAAGTAACGCCATTACTTTCATCGTTACCTCAGAAAAAGTAATAGAACTACAGTTACAAGTTACATTCTTAAAAAGTAACTCGTTAAAGTTACAAGTTACCGAAAAAGTAACAAAGTTACAGTAACGCATTACTAGTAATGCTTTACTACCCAAGACTGCTTATATGCCAACTTTTTTCTGAAAAGAGCCGTCAATAGGAGGGTGATACTTATGGACCGGGCAATATGGTACCTCTCCAAGCGGCCTTCCCCCTATTCGTCTTAAAATACAAACAAAAAAAAACAAGAAAAAAAAAAAACGTCGGAAGTGAATGATGGAAGTCCGTCATTGTGGTCAGTTGTGTCCTTATAGCTACTGCTGATGAAGCAGAGAGAGAAAAGAAAACAGGAACCAACCATATTGCTCAGTCACTTAATCTAAATCCGAGTAAAAAAGAGAGTGGCAGGCACCCCAAATGCAGGTTGCTCTGCTGCAGCCACTAATAGTCTAACTTTTACAAAATGTAGTCGTGCGAATGCCTTGCGCTGTCATTGTCAGATACAAATCTGCTTCTTTGCGCTGTTAGAAGTAAACTACATGCTTCGTTCCCTCCCCTACAGGTACACTACAAGCCCGGTTCCAAGCCGACGATCCATTTTTGTAGCCTATGAAGAAATCTCCTTTTAAGCCACTTCCCCGAAGACACGGAAGACGCCATTTCCACCAAAATACAAGGCAGAAAAGCCTTTCGTGGCTATGGACAATTTCATACGGCAAATAAACTATGAAAGCTGCACCTGAATCCCTAACAAGAACGTACGGGCAATATACGGCAAAACAGCTGCTTCGGGAAATTTAACGTGAAACGTGCTGCCAAGCTCGGTAAATGTTATCCAGCACCACGCCAATGTTTGCCCAAGTTACTGGCAAAGACTTCCAGTGTGCTCAAGTTAATGAGCTAGGAATGAAGCATTCGAGTGCCACCAAACAAAATAGACACCACTCCGTAAGAACGAGCGTACGACGCAGAAGACTGCCATTTCACCTATATTCCATTTCACGATAACTTGGCCAACTGTGGAGGCTGTGGCCCCCAGCGACCCAATAAGAGCGCCGGAGCCAGACGCGCAAGAACACTCCGTGGTCCAGGCCACAAGGGCCTCGTTACCGCCACAGCAACAGGGCCGTCAGCGACAAAAAGTAGTTCTAGGCTTCTTTTTCTTTTAACGGCAATTGAACTTGCGCGATTCCATATTTATTGAGAATACATGAAGAATAAATAATCACAAATCTATGAGCTTCAATTATATTTAAACCTAAAAAGTGACGCCACCACCCGTATCCGCTCCCGATTTTTTTTTCCTTGTAGCGCCGTGGCCGTTGGCGATCGCCAGCAATCGCAGCCATGTAATTGGCCGTTTTTGCTCAAAACGTCGCACTGTGCCCCGACATTAGCACCAGTCACAGATTCGTGGCTAAATTCAGTGTATGGTTGTCTTATGAACTGTTCCCGAAATGCTCGCTATTCTAGTGGACGGAAATGTTGCTGCAATGGACGTTCATCCGAAGTTGGTTGGTTTCGGAGCAGACGACTTGGCTAGCAGACAACGGCCGGCTCCTCCAGACCTCGCATTTGGCATAGTGACACAAATGCTCCCGTGACGTCGGGTTGCGTACCTCGTTCCAACGCTCTTATTGGGTAGCGGGGCCCTAGCCTCCACAGCTCGCCAAGTTATCGTGAAATGGAGTATAGATTGATCGAACGGTTAAGTTTCCCGCTAATAGAAATGCCGCAGAGACGACGTAAAACTTCTATGGTCGTGTCGTAAATGTTTAAGCACGCCATGTGGCGATTCCCCCGAGAAAGACGTAATGACACCAGCCCGTTTTGAGGATGACATCAGTACCAAAACGCTCGTTTAAGTGTGTCAACCCCAACATGTGTCGGAACGTTAAACTTCGCCCGACGCTACATTGGGGCCAAAAATAGGAGCCAACAAATTAAAGTTTAGCCATGGAATGTTGAAAACAAGACGGGCCAAACGTTGAGGCGGAACCCACAGATTCGCCCGAGCTGCCCAGACTAGACATCGATGATCCTTAATTTCACGAACTCGCACCCGACAAGTGCTAAATCTCAATAGGTACAAAGTAGATGACTAGGCCTTGGGAAAACAAACACGTGGTATGTTAAGCAACGCCGCGGAGGGAGCTTCCACCGACGAAACCGTGGGCACAGGCCACAGAAACCGAGCTCACAATGAGAACTCGGCCATGAACGCCAGTAAAGCTTTTGCGGCGTCGGCCTCCAAAGGGCAGCTTGCCCGCAAAAAAGTATGTTTCTTGAAACCACGATTTTCTCCGACACCCTAGGAAACGAGAAAAAAGAAACGCGACTAGTTTCCCTCGCCCCTTGTAACCGTTCGCTCCAAATGAAGCATGCCGCAGCATTAAATCCCCATAACAAACTTCCAAAAGTTGGCAACGATTATGCCCTGGTCCCACTAGAGCGACAAACACAAGCAACTGACACCGACAAGCCTCGAGCACGTGCGGCGTGCACGCAAGTGTATCTTTGGCAGGCTCGCAATCGCTCGTGCTAACTTCACGAGCACCGAGAGACCGCAAGTCTGTCGAAGGGTCCTTCACGTGCGCGCAGCGTGGGCTTGAAGCTTGTCGACGTCGGTTGTTTCCGCCCGTCGCTCCAGCGGGATCCTGGCATCACCGCACCGCCCCAACTCATTCTTTTCTTTCCAACGTCCCAATTTCGGTGGACCCCACCTCCCGACGCGCCGCTGCGGTTACCCGATTGCCGAAACTTCTGCGGATCACGTATCCTGAGCCGGCTGGTCGTGCGAGTTCGTCAGAGCCACGGTGGCTGCCGTAGTCCTCGGCGATGCCACGTCGGTTCCCGTCTCCGGCATTCTCGACGCCGTAGTTGTAGCCGGAGCCGGAGCCATGGCCGGAGCCGGAGCCGCCGTCGCAATCAATCCCGGTGCCACGGTGCTCGTTGGTACGGCGCAGCCGATGTTGCCGGAAGTGGACGCCCCGTCTTCGGACTTCCAGCGTGCGTCGGATGAGCGGTGGATCACGGGCGCAGACTCGCTTTCGGACCGGCTCTGCTTGAAGCGCCGCACAGGTTGCGGCTGCTGTTGCAGACGGCTTGGACGCACGGTACCCCAGTCTGCACGGCACGTCCAAGACGGTCGCGCGTCATTCCATGATCCTCAATTATCCCGTTCACATACCTCAGGCGGCTGTCTTTTAAGCAAAAACCTGTCTCCAGCCTCTGTGAGCACCGGTACCTCAACGCTTTAAATTTAGCCATTAAGAATAGCATGAAAGTACCTTATTTGTGTCCTCTAAGATACTATTAGGAATCGGTTTAACAAGAATTTTGCACTACATTACCAGAAGACAGAGGATTCCGTCCCAAATAAGGGCTGTTTCTACCTAACTTGGTCAACAAAGTAAGATATTACAAAGCCATCACTCAGTGCATGTTAGGGACAATTGCTACAGATGTTTGCTGAGAAACATTAAAAAACAAAGTTTTTAAATATACAAAAATATTTTGGGGGAAAGTTCATGGCTAAAACTTTTTCTAAAAAGCTGCAAAACCCCACTCCATCTAATTGAGATAAAAAGCAATGCAATAAATAGATGAATAGATTCAAATAATATCAATTATCATGTCATGAACACTTTTCATTTTTAAAGGAATATATAACGGTGCTCACGAAATCATTCGAAGGAAAATATTAGTATCATAAAGTATAGTAAAAAAAATAAAGGAAAGAAAACTCTTGTTGTCAGACTTGACAACAGTTGTCCATTCTGACTATAAATTCAATATTGACCAGCCATAAAATGCAGTGCACTTTTCAAAAGCCCAAAGCTACATGCAACAACATGCACCCAGCATTCAACACCATGCTGGCATGCAAACAGAAGTCTCATCAAAATGCTTTCAATGACTTCTATTACTACACTGTAAACCAACAGCCATACAGTGAGACCATTATACACCCAGCAGATTTTATAAATCTACCACACTTAGGCAATAGCCAAGCCGTTTACAAACAAGGCTCGCTACTTGCTAGCCTACTTTCCAACTACATCTGCAAAAGAAGTCAGGCAAAGGATGGGGGCAACAATGTACCGTGTAAAAATTCAATCTGCGCTGCGCACTAAGCCTGCCCAGTAGCCAGTACAGATAGCATTTTCAGGTAGAAACATTTTCTGGGCATTACGGTATTTTTTGCTCAACTCATCGTACGATTTCAACGATCAGCTATCCACATGCTCCGTAATGTAGCAAACGAGTGCAACTAGATGACGAGCAGCGCAGCTACCACGCGAGAAAATGTGTAAAAATTCTACCACCCAAGCTGTGCACTGCACGTGCCCTGTGGTGAGCATACCTAGATAGTACTCTAAGGCCCAAACATTTTCGGGGCATCATTATTTGATGGGCATGTGCGAATAGTGATTTTCGAGCTAGAGCGAATTCTGGGCAAATTCAAAGCGAACAGTTGTTTTGGCCGAATTTTTCGGATATTGAATAGTTTACCCAAAAACCCTGCTGGCTTTCACTTGGGAACAACCTTCAAAATGCATAGGGGGGGAAAGGGGTGGGGAGGGTGCCAAAGCCCAACAAATCTTCCCCCTCCATTAACCCCTCCCCTGGTTAAGCCACGTCCCTCCAGGTCTATTTACCGTAAAATACTGGGCAAGCGCCCACTCAAACTTTGGAGATAACCACAAAAAAATGGGGGATGGGCGCTTGTTCGGTCATCAATTTTACATACAAATGTACTGTGCGCATTTGCTCAGATCTTACAAATTTGGTAATGGGCGCTTAACGTGGAATGGGCGGATGCACAGTATTCAACGGTAGTGGCAGCAAGTCTGTTAAGAGTGAAAAACATAAAAACTAAATATCGTTGCACCGCCCCTTCAAGCTGACAGCGCCGTATGATCTACGCGCTCGCTGTACTACTCGACCACCTCTGTTTCATTGCTGGAGCCCGACCTCTCCGTGTGGGTACGAGTGGGAGCGTGATCACATGGCGAAAGACGGAGGTATCAACGAGCACGTAGCTTCCCCCACACTGTCCCCTTAGGATGGATGGATGGATGGATGGATGAATACGGCTGAGCCCTTTGGATCGGGCGGTAGCTTACGCCACCTAGCCATTTTGTTTTACCATTTAAGCTTAGAATATTTAAATGTGAAATCTATAGGAGTGAACTGAGTGCAGCGCCCTCTACGTGCCATTGGGTTAATCAAACAACTTGGCGTTCTGCAGCTTGCCACATGGTTACGCGGCACCGTCGCCGCACGGAGGTGCTGCGTGGTACCACCCTGCAAAAGTCCGAGATAAATTTATGTCCAAGGCGGAGGGTCATTTTTGCTTTTTACGTGGCGTGCTCGCTGGCTGCTGAAAACCGGCCCTGCGAAGCATGCGTACCGATAGCACCTCTCGATTGCTTCGGCCTGTGTACGCAATTTTTGCAACTCTAGTACAGAAACGCACTTGGAATTCAGACTTCAAAACTTCCGTCCGCCACTGTGCTGTCAATTTGTTAGCACCTGACCACCTCCGTGCATCTTTACGCTCTGGAAAAATAATGAAGCTGTTAACTGTGGGTATGTAGACACCTTATTCAAGGCACTGGGGTAGCCTCGATTTGGCCAGATTTTTCGTTTTATTTCAAAGACACAAAAAATGTAATGCATTTCTTGCGGATTGCAAAAAAAAGTAATGCAAAAAAACAATCGAAGATGGCCTTTTTTTAAAATTTATTTATAAAATAATCTGTATTTAGTCGAATGGCCCCATTTGAGTATTTCCCGCAAAAGTGACCGGCTAACCTGGAAAACATTATTTAGAGCCAAGATCAACAAAATATGATGCAACACGCGGACAAAGTTTGGAAGTCTTAGCGTTTGTAGACGTGAAGAAAAGAAATAGTCAATGTTTAGCATTATTGCGCAATGTGTTGTGTTTGCGATTTTTCTCTTGAAGACTAACAACGTCGTAACTCTGTAGTAAATATTTAAGGGGGGACGCGGGCTTTGAAAACCGGAAAATTGCGAAAAAGTCGATTTTTAGAAAACCTTATTTTTCGGTTGTATATCTCATAAACTACCTTCTCTGTAATTATCAGCACCAAATACAACGGGGAAATGGCCTCCAAGTGACGGTCAGACGTCAAAATCAACCCCAACTTCGCGCGCTCGCCATTTTCGACGCGTTGGGCCGACGGCCGCCATCTTAGTCTTGTTTTGAACGTGAATTCTTTCTCTTTTTTTTGCCAGCTCCCAAAATGGCGTCGGCCGCGTGGTTACGGCGTGGTCGCCGTTCTTCCATGTCGCAATCGCAAGAACGCGATTGGACAGAGCGCGCGCTCGAGGAGCGTGCGGGGGAGCGCGCGACTGCTATTGGCTGGGACGCGATTTCTCCGCGCGCGGAGCGCTCTCTTCCTTCGTTTCACCTGCTGTTGCCGCTTGCGTCGTCTGCTTTTGATAGTGGTCTGCTTGCACGCGCTCTTGCTTTGTCAGCTCCACTTCGTTTTTCGCCATCTTTACGATCGTTTTCCGAACTTTCTTTGAGTAGTTTCGTGTAGCGTGCCCGTCTGTTTCGTGGTCGCACACGATGCGGGGTTCGAAGTACAAGACGGTGCACGCGTTTGGCGCGCGGAAGCGGTCCATAAAGTTAGTGCGGATGGCGAAGTTGGAAGTTTCTGCACGGCGTGCCGTCAATGATGATCGCGTCAACACTTCCAGTGATGGATTTTCTGTGCCATCGGCTGTCGTCGAGGAAGAACGCATCGCCCCGCTCACGCCTGGAGTACCGAGCATGCCGACCGTTGTGGTTCCTCCCGAGATCGCAGGTCCCAGCGCCCGTCTTCCGCCTGCCGCGACAAGTAGGAGCGCGTCTTCTAGCACCCATCTGCGGACGCATTTCCTGACACGTGAGGAGATCGAAGCAGAAGCTAGACATTGTGATATTGCTCAAGCCGAACTTGGAGCTATGCCAGCAAACTGCACTGCATGAAGCGGTGTTGAGGTTCAACGCCGGCTGCTACAAGGCAACTGCAGAAATATCGGTTGCAGTGGGACTTCAGCCGACCCATCTAGCCCTCCAACGAGCTGCCGAGAAAGATGCCCTACGTCTGCACAAGGCCAGCAAACGACATCAAGAGAATTTGGAAAGGCGGAACAAGAAGAAAGTGCACAAGAACACTTCTGACTATTCTGCCAGGGTCATTCTAAAGCTGAAAATCTGCGTGCAACTTTCAAGTGCTGTTTTCTCAGAATGGATTTTTTCACTGTCGTGGCTGCTCGTCCCAGCGATATCTCAGGAACTGATGAATGGATTTTTGTGCTGTCTTTTTTATTCTGTTCTCTAATAACTTTGTGAGGGCATAACAGAGCCCTTTTTTTAGAAAACTGTACTAAAAATTTATAATAAAAAAATGAAATTTGGTGAATGTGGGTTTCATTGACTACACAAAATTCAAAGTTGCGTTAAAATTTTTCAACAAAGAAATTTAAAAAAAGGGCTCTGTTATGCCCTGGGGAATGTATCCAGGGGTCATCATAACAAATTTTACGCCGCTACTACCTTTTTCAAATTCTCCAGACCTGGGATAAGGAATGCATATGGACGATTTTGATAAATACTTGTAACTTGAGAAATAATATGCACAACTCCATGAAACTTTGCAGTTACTCTTATGTCTGTGCTATAAACACATTCTGTAAATTTCGTTCAGATATCTCTAGAAATAAAAAATTTCATATTTATTCCCCACCTCCTCTCTTAAGATCAATCCTTCCTATGCATATTTTTTCAGTATATATTTTTAGACACATAAATGCAGCAGTTGTTTAGGGGAAGCTGCCCAAAATGCCAACTTAGTGCAATCCGCAGAAAGTGCTTCGAACTAAGTGTTTCTAAATGTTTTCCGCAAAGACAAAAGTTGGTTTTGTTTCAATAACCATTGAGTCAACAATTTTTTTTTTTTTTTTTTTGTCAAAACTTAGAACTGTTTTTGGACATGTTCGGCCAAACTTATCTGAAAATGCCCGGTGTAGTTATTGCGCCAAAAAGTGTGGGTACACCTTATATACAACACATACCCCAGTAGGAACAAGCTACATCAGTTGACACA